TGCACTTTTAACATCAGCAGCAGCAAAAGCCTCTCTGGGCTCCACAAGTTTAACAACCACAGTAGCTGTTGCTGACAGGGAAACGTTGCCATTGTCTTTCACCAGTATGAGCAGTTTATGCTCAGCCTCGTCCGTCTCTGTGAATGAGCGAAGTGTTCTGATCTGTCCTGTATAGCGGTCCAAACCAAAGAGACTGTGGGCAGTAACTTCCTGCAGTGAGAACAGTAACCAGCCGTTATATCCTATGTCAGCGTCATAGGCTCTGACTTTAGTTACCAAGTGTCCTGCGTTCACATTGCGGGGAATCTCCTCCACACCTTCAGCAGAACCGTTAGAGCTGACCGGATACAGGATGACTGGAGCGTTGTCGTTCTGATCCAGAATGAACACGTGCACTGTGACGTTGCTGCTTAGTGAAGGAGTTCCAGAATCTGTGGCGACAACTTGGAACTGGAAAGTTTTCAGAGTCTCAAAGTCAAAGCTTTTTAGCGCCGAAATATCTCCAGTTTCAGAGTTCATATTAAGGAAAGACGTTATGTCATGTTGACTCCCTTCTCTCACTATTTGATATGCAATAGCTGCATTGTCATTTAAGTCATTGTCCGTTGCGCTTACAGAAAAAAATGAAATTCCAGCAACGTTATTTTCTACCAAATAAAACTCTATTGGATTTTGGGAGAAAAAAGGACTGTTGTCATTTACATCTGATATTCTAATATGTAGTGTTTTAAAAGTAGATAAGGGCTGTTCCCCACAATCGGTTGCTTTTATTGTTATCTCATAATGGGATACCTGCTCTCGGTTCAAATTTTTTGTAGTGACAACTGAATAAATGTTCTCCTTATAGGACGGCTTTAATTCAAAGGGGACGTTTGAATTTATACTTGATATTATTTTTCCATTGACACCGGAGTCTTTATCCGTTACACTCAGTAGTGAAATAACTGTGCCAAGCTTTGAGTCTTCCGACACAGTATTAGACAGTGATGTAATTTCTATTTCCGGTGGATTATCGTTAACGTCTAATATCTTTATCACGACTCTACACTCACCTGTCAGTGGAGGTGCTCCTTTATCTGATGCCTCAACATCGAGTTTATAAACGTCGTTTTCTTCATAATCAACCATTCCTTTTACTTTAATTTCTCCAGTTAATTTGTTCAATTCAAAAATGTCATAGACTTTTTTGTTCAGAGTTTTTCCGAGGCTATATTCTATTTCCCCATTAATGCCTTCATCGGGATCCGTTGCATTCATTTTAAATATTAATGTACCGACTGGGATGTTTTCTTGTATTTCAATTTGGTAAATCTCCTGACTAAACATCGGTCGATTATCATTACTATCCAGCACAATAATAGAAACATTAAGTGTGCCTGATTTTGGAGGTTTACCTCCATCAACTGCAGTAACCAGCAGCGTGTGTTTGTTCTTTTGTTCTCTGTCCAACGATTTCTTCAGAACTAAAAATGGTATTTTATCCTCATCGCTTTGGCGGATATCAACTTCAAAATGTTCATTTGACGTTAAAGTGTACGTACGAATAGAGTTAACTCCAGCATCGGGGTCGCTAGCAGTGTGCAGTTTAAATCGCTTTCCTGGTAATGTTTGTTCACCGATCTCAAATAATTGTTCTTTTTCAGGAAAACTAGGGGAATGATCATTTACATCCGTGATTTCTACAACAATATGGTGCATTTCCAACGGATTTTCAACTAGGATCTTTAGCTCCAGTAGACATGCACCACTGCCGTGACAAAGAAGCTCTCTGTCGATTTTCTTGTGTATATGCAGTGCCCCATTGTCCTGGTTTACCTCAAAAAAGGTTTCCTTCGTTCCAGAAACAACACGGAGCCGTCGTTCAGTTAACGATGTGATTTCGAGGCCAAGATCCTTGGCAACATTTCCAACAACAGTCCCTTCTCTTGCCTCCTCTGGAATAGTGTAACGTGTCTGAGCCAAAGCCTGGTTTCCGAAAAAAAGCAATAGAGCCAGATGAAACACAAACGCATAGTACTCCCTCATTCGACTTTGCTTGTCGGTCCCCATCATTCAAACAACTTACAGTAGAAAAACCCAAGGATAAGGGTTATATGTCCAACCCGTTGTTTATCGCACAATTCCAAAATGTATACCGAGAACCTATCGACTGGCATGCTTTATTCAAACGTCTGCCCTTCTCCAAAAAATAAAAGCTTTTTCATGGGAGGGACAAGGTCTCCGAAAATTTCCCAATGTAACAGTGACACCAGGAGGCTATTGAAAGGACGTAAAATAAGTGAAATTATATACTTCTTGTCATGGAATACCTCTGCTACAGTAATAGGCCTATATATAGTTGGCAAAATACAAATTGGCAGGTAAGATCCTAAATTAAAAAAATCACCATTCTTCTCTGTGTGTCTCTGTCTCAGTAATATTTATTCAGCAGGTAAAGATACACCTTGTATTTTTCTCTAACATTATGCACACGAGTCAACGCAAAATAACGAATATACTTGCAATGTAAAGCACCAGTAACAGCCATAGACTGTGGGTTATAGGAGACATTTGTCTATGCCATGATGATACATCTATAAACTAGCTCATAGCTGTCAGCATTCACTGCAGGCAAACCTACCACATATGCATCCTATCCATCTAGTGCATTACAAGACATCTATCAATATTTGTGCATACCTCCAGCAATGTTAACTATGTTGAAGCACTTATTTTAACTGATATTAAACATATGTATTATACTCTTATAAGATGTATAGATATACTTAATCTCTGGCCTTGTCAGGTATTGAACAATCAATAAAGAACACAGAATTATTAAATATAAAACACAGAATTTGTGTGATTATACTAAATGATTTACAAATAAACACCACTGCATATTTACAACTGTTACACGCTGATGTAACGCAAATGTTTCCAACTTGGGATCAATCAAGTTTATCTTATCTTAAGATGATTGATGGCTACTGCCATATTTGCAAAATGTGCCTCTGAACCTTGACAAGTGCATGTTTCAGGCTTATCAATTAACAACAGTATATATATATATATATATATATATATACACATGAATATGATGTTGTGCCTGTATAGCTTTTTCATATCTAAAATTGTTGTTTTTGCAAATCTTCTGAATTCAAAGATCGATCTCAACTTGAATAACCCTCAATATGACCAAAGCACTCTATTTCAGCACCTTGCACATAGGATATAAACCATGAATAATGACACAAAATATGAAGTATTTTCTTGAATAAAAAAGGCATTATCTTTTTCATTTATGTTATTTTACATAGCAAAGATTAATATGTTGCCTAGGAGGAAATCATCTTGCTGTGACCTGCAGAAAACTCTCTTTAATGCAGATGTATTGTATTGTATTTAGGCTGATTGATACAGTTGGTTTTTAGTATCATTGTGTGACACATTTATCCGTCAACACATACCATAGACAAATATGATGGATATCTTAACTTAGAATCAAAACATGGTCTTACCTCTGTAGATGTTCCCCTCCTGTCAGGGAGCACTAGTGTGTTGGCATGGCTGCCCGGGACTATAGTAGATCCTATACTCATTCTGGGTCCAACTAACATGTAGCGCTTGTCTCCAGATCTGTACTGGATGCTGTGACACAGTGTCCCATCATAGTTAGTCTCTTGTAGATATTTAGAAGTATAGTCTGTGGACTTAGAGCAC